ATGTCTGCGCCACTTACCAACCCGTCCTTATTCTTGTCTGCCTGCAAATTCACTATTATTATTATTATTACTATTGTGCATATGTATACAAAATACTGCTGTGACAATAGCAAATGAAGGCACAGAGTATTGGATTTGGTATTGTTTGCATTTATGCACTGGTTGGCTGATGTGCTCGATGGTTGAATAGCCCGGGGTGAAAGCAGCTTGTTCTCTGTGTATTTCTATCTGAGCTGTGATTCGTTTGAGAATTATTCTCGTCAATAATTTATATGCTTGTGATAGTAGCGCAATTGGGCGATAGTTCGCCACACCTTCTGCATAATAATAATAATAATAATCCAAATATTAATAATCTACATAACAATAATAATAATAGATAGAATAATAATGATATCGAAGCCAACCTTCAGAAACTGTGCCTCATACAAGCTCGTCTCTATTGGCCACACTCCTCCCACGGATTGGCTTCGTGATTCCAATGCTGGCAACTGAATGCACATCATTTGACAAACACAATAATATTCATAAATAATAAAAAATAACAATAATAAGTAATAAATAATAATAATAAATAATAACAAATAACACTAATAAATATTAAAATAATAAATACCGATGCGCACGACGTCTGCGCATTGATACTGCTGTACGGCTGCACGCTCTGCGAACGGTTCGTATAATCCGAGTAATTAATATTGAACTTAGCCCCGCCCACCAGACCGCAAGTGTCCAATGACGTCACTGATGAATGACGTGATTTGTCTCGTGCCTCTGCACTCCATTCTACAATAATAATAATTATAATAAATTACACGACCAATTAGCCAAAAAACTCGCCAAGCCACGCCCAAAGCATTGGCAAACTTGCCCGATGGATTCGTGGCTATGACCCGGTAACAAGAGTAATAACAATTAAAAAAGTAATAAATAAAAACACCCACGCTGCGCACTAACCACCGACATTCTGTGCTGTTTCCCCACCTTGCTGGGATGCACCAGAGCGGGTGGTAATATCGGGGGGATCGACTCGCCCTTCAGAGTGTTATAAACCAAATGCAATGCGATACTCATCTCGATACGATCCAATTTCCCATCCTTTATTATTTTTATTACTATTATTATTAATTATTATTATTATTATACACATATATATTATTAATATACAAATATTAATAAACAATATAAGATAATCATTAAGTATAATAAAAAATTATANACCTTGCTGGGATGCACCAGAGCGGGTGGTAATATCGGGGGGATCGACTCGCCCTTCAGAGTGTTGTATACCAAATGCAATGCGATACTCATCTCGATACGGTCCAATTTCCCATCCTTTATTATTATTATTATTATTATACACATATATATTATTAATATACAAATATTAATAAACAATATAAGATAATCATTAAGTATAATAAAAAATTATATTTATTATTTTTAAGTTTATAGACATTTTTATCTTTAATTATATATTATTATTTATTATTATACATACATATATAATAATTAGTAATATTAAATATAGTAAGCAAACCACCTTATCAATATCAGATAATTCCCAAATCTTGGCTAACGATGCACCTGGCAAACCGGAATTCATTAACACTGGTCGTACCTCAAATTATTTCATTTAATAATAATAATAATAATAAATAATAATAATAAACAACAACGTCAATAAATAATGACAACAAACATGAATGCGAAACTTAAAATTTATCAATTATTATTATATCAATAATAAAATTCATGAAAAATAAAAAATAATAACTGATAATAATAATAACAATAATAATAATAATAATAATAACAAGCGCCACCTTGTCCCCGGAGACCTTGCCGTCAACCGGCTGCAGTCCATCGAATATGGAGTCGTACTTGAGCTGGTCTGTCTGCCCAATAGACCATTTGTCAGTGCTGTTGAGACTGTCGTTGGAGGAGATATGGCAGGACTCTTGTAATTTCGATGTGATCAGTTGATGTGGTGACTGCGACGAGGGGGTCGATGACAGCTGCGGGGACTCTCTGGCAGTCGTTTGTGAGAGTTTTGTGAAGATGGGTGGATTGAGATTCGATAGTGGCTCGGTGATNTCGGATAATTCCCAGATCTGAACACTCCTCTTCACTCATTTTTTCATCTTTACCTTCTTAATCTCTTAAATTTTACTGTTTTTACTCACACATCCAGTGGTTGGTTGTCTTGTGAATAATCGCTGTGAGGAGC